AGGGAGGTGGCTGGGGGTAGCCCCGACGACACTCTTGGGGCCGCGTCGGGGAGTGGTCTTGGGAAAGTGGTTCCGAAGGACCTGATAGGGTAGGGAGGGGGCCGAGTGGCCAGGACGACGGCTCTGCCACCAGCGAAGGAAGGAACCGCTTGGAGGTTTCCTCTCCCCAGGCGTTATTGTGCGCCGCGGTTCGCAAAGGTGGGGGCCCTGCTCTGGAGTGAACAATTGCTCGCTCACTTCGCGACCGGGCTGTAACTCAATCGCTGAGTTGTGGGGTCTGCAGGGGAACCCCTGCTTCTTGTCTGCTACTGAACGCTCACTTTTGAGTGAAGGATATGATTTTAGAACTAGTTTCTGTTATTCTCTCCACTCCCACATCTCAGTGTCCTCTCTACCTGGGTCCTTGTCTCCTTTGGGTCCACTCAGGCCGACTTTCTCTCTTCCTAATCTGGTGCTCTGGCTCTCCCAGCCCCTCCCCTGATCTTCCCGGTTCTTCCCCACCCTCTCCTACAGATTACGTCTATTTTGAGAACTCCTCCAGCAATCCTTACCTGGTTAGACGGATTGAGGAGCTCAACAAGGTGAGTGGAGCACAATCACCTGCCACCCAGAAAGTGCTTTTCCTTCTGAAATCTCACTGCAGGTGGAAGGAAGGACCTTACCCTGAGTACCCATTCATGTTCATTCATTGGATGTACAGTATATGTACAGTATTTAGGGAAAGCCACTGAGCGCTTAGCCGGACTTTTATTACTCTGTCTCTTGGCAAAAGAAAGGGATTTCGAAGTCTGCCCTTGTATGTCTTTACTGCAAAATTCTTGGGCTTTTCTATTTAGGCTTCCCAGAAACTTACTCACTTGTGGGACCAGCAGTTGGTGTTATGGCTATGTCGCTGGACCCCTATGTAGTCTACCGCGTTTGGAGTCCTGGACCCGCTGTGTGTGTGTGTGTGTGTGTGCGTGTGTGTGTGTGCGCGCGCGCGCGCCTGAGATCCCTGGAGGAGAAGGGATTGTGGCGTGGCCATCCTCCCCTGGCGGGTGATTTCTCACTTTCTGTCTCTGTCTTTCTGGCTAGTGCACTTGCCCAATAGCAAAAAAACCTCTCCAAAAAGAAAAGAAAAGAAACTTATTCATTTTCTACATCACCACTTTTTTTTTTAAGATATTTTTGCTATAGGGTATGTGTGCTCCCTGGCGAGGCAGAGAAAGAGAAAGCAAGAGATAACCTACCAATTGGGATGGCCACGGTGCAATCCCTTCTCTGTTTTCCTCTTGGGATTTTGGGCACATACATGTGGCTGGCATGAGTTTCAATTTGCCAGGCCTAGGACTCGAACTGTAATCAACCACTTGGGAGTCCAGCAATATAGCCATTATTTCATTTGCCGATCCTGTGCATCTCTACTTTCAACTAACTGTTTCACCACCCTGTTTTCCTTTCTCTTAGACTGCAAATGGAAACGTGGAGGCAAAGGTGGTCTGTCTTTTCCGGCGAAGGGATATTTCCAGTAGCCTCAACAGCCTGGCTGATAGTAATGCCCGTGAGTGTCTTTCACCCTCCCCCTCACTCCCCTCCACATGATCTGAGGTCTGGGCAGGTTCCTGCAGGTGTTTCCCCTGGTAGCATGCCTGAGGCAGGGGTGTGTGTGAGTTTGGGGGTGGGAAATGCCTGGTCTGCAGAGGGAGGCCTGTTTTTACACGTTGGGGTTGGAAGCAGAGTGAAGAGACCATGATAAGGAAAGCCAGAATGTGGTTTGTGTGCAAGTGGGTGTGTGAGAGGGAGGATACATATCTGGTGGGTGAGGAAGAGCTCTGGAGAAGCATGATGCTTTGGGGGCCAGTTGGGGTACACTGGGACAATGTGTTTGAATGCGAAGGTTTGAAAGTGAAGAGGAAGAGGTTGCACTGAGAGGCCTGCATAATGGAGAAGCAGGCTTATTTGTAATTATGAGGTAGTGAGAATCTGCCAGAAGGAGAGAATAGGAAGCTAAGAGATGGTAGGACAGTTCTCATACACTTTTTTTTCTTTTTTTATCTCTCTCATTTTCTCCTCCATTTTATATCTTTCCCTTTTGTCATGTGTCCCTTCTTTTGAAACTCATCTTCTTGAAAAAAAAAAAAAATATATATATATATATATGTATGAGACCCACACACACACACACACACACACATTTTTTTTTTCTGGTTTTCTTAGCTTTTCCCTTTTTTTTTTCTTTTTCCTTTCTTCTTGTTCCTCCTTCCTAAATTGTCTTTTTCCAGGCTGCTTTGGGCATGAAGGAGTTAATGAGGAGCTGGGTTTACCAAGTTCCCTGGCCCTTTGGGGTTTACAGCCCTGTCTGGCAGGGGCTGACCTTGGCCTTGTCCAATCAGAAGGGGTGTGGGGGGTGTGGTCCCCCTTGCTTTAGCACAGGGTTTCCGGAGCTCACAGGCAAGGGGTGGAGCCTACTGCACCCCTCCCCCCTCTCCCTGAGGTTGGGAACAATGCACCAATGAGCCTGGGCTGGAGGCTCTTCTGCCCCCTCCCACTTTGGTTGGCTCTCAGCCAGCTTAACCCTTTCCACCAAGATTTCAGGGCAAGCTGCAGCTCCTTGGGGAGAAAGAGGTTGGCACTGGCTTGAGAGGTGCTGTCCTTGAAAGGCCCACAAACTATTATTAGGTTAGAGTTGCATGTGATGTTTTAGAGCAAAGAGTCTGCTGAAATCTGAAAGGACAAACTGGTAAACACAACATTGTATGGCATTTTTTCATTTTACTGGGTTCTTGAACCTTAGGCTGGTGTAGCAAGGAGACAGGCATGATGTCCTTACTGGGCCTGGTGTGGGCAGTGTTTGTGTTTTAGAAGGGGCGTCTGAGTACTGGCAGTTGGGTTTGGGATGTGTTTCTCCTGCGTTGTGTGCACTCCCAGCAGCTCTTCACTAGTGATAGAGGGTTGGGGCCTCTGTAGTGGGACATAGGGCTCAGAGAGGAAGCCGGTCTGGCAGAGGTATGGAAGGCACCTGGGAAGTATGTATAAAAACAGCTGAGATAGGAAATGTTTTCATGTGTTATAATTTCCAAGGTGGCTTCTTTCTGGATTAGTTTCTGACTTGGCTTCTTCCTCCTTGGTCTCCCAGGAGAGTTTGAGGAGGAATCAAAGCAACCAGGGGTGTCGGAGCAGCAGCGACATCAACTGAAGCACCGAGAGCTTTTTCTTTCTCGGCAGTTTGAATCATTACCAGCCACTCACATACGGTACAGGACAGTCGGCTAACGTGGCCTGAGTGCACCAATTCAGCAGTTGGAGGGGGTGTGGTGGTGGTGTGTCGGAGGTGCTATGAAGAGGGAAGGAGGGGCTCACCCAGGGTTTTCGGACCTGTCTCTGTAGGGGCAAATGCAGCGTGACCCTCTTGAATGAAACAGATATCTTGAGCCAGTATTTGGAAAAAGAGGTGAGAAACAGGTGCTGGGAGATGAGGGAGGGGAATGGATATTGCCCCCAAAAGGCAAGAGGAAAGTAAGACAGTGATGAGGTACAGGGATGACAGAATGCCTGTCTTGGGAACCCTAGATACAGCCCATGGCCCCACTTTTGTGGATTGCTGCCCTGCTTACTTTCTCTCTCTCCATCCCCAGGACTGTTTTTTTTACTCGCTGGTGTTTGATCCTGTGCAGAAGACACTTCTAGCTGACCAGGGGGAGATCAGAGTTGGTTGCAAATACCAAGCTGAGATCCCAGATCGCCTGGCAGAGGGTAAGCAGTAGGACAGACAGGCTGTATGGCTGCTGGGTTATCTGACAGCAAGGGCTGCTTTAATGTCATTGTTTTATGGGTGGCTTGCCCGAGAGGTGTGTGGCACACAGTCTGTAAGCCTCTCTTCTGTGACCCTGACTGAATGGGACCTTGGGTGCCTGGAAGGGGCGAGGGAGCACAGGGAAGAGAAGTCCGAGGGTGGGAATGGCTGACATAATCCAAGCAGAAGAGGAGGAAAGAGATGCTATCGTGAGTGATTAAGACACCAGTTATTTTCCCCTTCCCTCTCTCCAGTGATGCCTTTACTTTGTTCTCCAGGAGAATCTGATAATCGAAACCAACAGAAGATGGAGATGAAGGTCTGGGACCCAGACAATCCTCTCACAGACCGGCAGATTGATCAGTTTCTCGTGGTGGCCCGGTGAGGGGTGGGTGGATGGGGAAGATGGGTTGGGGGAGATATGGAAATAACAGTTCTGAGGCTCACTCATTCCTTTTTTTAAAAAATCACTACTTTATTTTATTTATTTATTTATTATTATTATCATCTAATTTGGCCAAAGACAGACAGAGAGAGGGAGAGCAAACTGCTAGGTCACAGACCCTAACTGTGGTTGACTACGTGGGAACACCTTAAACACCATGCTCCTGATGGGCTTCTTTTTTTCCCTTGGCCATAGGTGTTTTGCTTACTTCTCCTGTTAGCTCCTCAGCCCTAGACCTTCTTTTTCTTTCTCAGTTGACTTCCCAATCTCTCCCTTAGGGCTGTGGGGACCTTCGCGAGAGCCCTAGATTGCAGCAGCTCCATTCGGCAGCCAAGCCTACACATGAGTGCAGCTGCCGCCTCCCGGGACATCACCCTGGTGAGCAGAAGTTGGTGGGTGGGACAGGAGAGGAAGGGTATTGTAGAAGGTGTTGGGATAGTTAAAGAGCAGCAGTATTTCAGATTGTCGGCATTGTTCTCCACCTTTCCCGTAGTTTCATGCAATGGATACTTTGCAAAGGAATGGCTATGACCTGGCCAAGGCCATGTCAACCCTGGTACCCCAGGGGGGCCCCGTGCTGTGTCGGGATGAGATGGAAGAATGGTCTGCCTCAGAGGCCATGCTTTTTGAGGAGGCCCTAGAGAAGTACGGGAAGGATTTCAATGATATTCGTCAGGATTTCGTAAGTACATAGGGCCAGGAGGAGAGGTGGGAGAGAGGACAGGTGAGGGACCAGGAACTGGGGCTGGATGGCAGCCTTCTTCCCTCTGCCCTTACAGCTACCCTGGAAGTCACTTGCCAGCATAGTCCAGTTTTATTACATGTGGAAAACCACAGACCGGTATATTCAGCAGGTATCACCTGGGCTGGGGAGGCTGGACCAGAGGCTACCTGCTCACCTGTGCCTTTGAAGGTGACAGCCTCCGTCTTTTCTTTCCTACAGAAAAGATTGAAAGCTGCTGAGGCAGACAGTAAACTGAAACAGGTCTACATCCCCACCTAGTAAGTGTGCGGGCCTGAGAAGCTGGCATGTTTCCTTCCTCTCCCCCAACCTGTGCTTTCCTCAGTGATTGGGAGTGGGCAGGAGACAGGGCCAGATTTGAGAGACAGGGTGGAAATGGATTTGGTTTCTTTTCCTTGACTAGTTTCCCGGTTTCTTTCCCATTAGCACTAAGCCAAACCCTAATCAAATCATTTCTGTGGGTTCAAAACCTGGTATGAACGGAGCTGGGTTCCAGAAGGGCCTGACTTGCGAGAGCTGTCACAGTGAGTTCCATGGAAGGACAGGGATGCTAGGGGTGGGTGGGAAGTGTGCTCTAAGGGACCCAGGTCGCATGTCTCTTCTTTGACCTCACCCTCCTCTGCATGCTCTTACAGCCACACAGTCTGCTCAGTGGTATGCCTGGGGCCCACCCAACATGCAGTGCCGCCTCTGTGCTTCCTGTTGGATCTACTGGAAGAAGTATGGGGGACTGAAGACCCCAACCCAGCTCGAGGGGGCTGCTCGGGGCACCACGGTAAGGATTAGTGAGGTGACAGGTACAGGTGTACAGTGAGCACATTGACATGAGCTATAGGCAAAGGTTACAGTACATAACATCTTATGGGGTGTTGATTTGATGGGCAGGGGGTGCATGATAGTGGTTGGGGAGCAAGATGGGTCTGGTGGTCAGTGAAAAGATCAGGCAGAGGGACCAGCAGAGGACATGGCGGTTGTGTTGTTAGACTCTTACCACGGCTGAATGTGGTCAGAGTTCCAGACCTTGTGGCTTGAAACTGATGCCAGGTATATGCATGCCCACAGTCCTGAAAAGAGGGTGGCCATACCCCTGGGGGTGATTTCTTTCTTTCTGTCTCTCTCTCTCTCTGGCAAGCGCATGTGCCCTATGCTAGAAAAATCTTTCTTGCTCTCTGTAGAGAATGGAAAAAAGAAGGGAGCCTCAGTGTTGATTTGTATTCTCCCTTTTCCCTTGCTTTCCTCTAGGAGCCACACTCGCGAGGTCATTTGTCCAGACCTGAAGCCCAAAGCCTCTCTCCCTATACAACCAGCGCCAACCGGGCCAAGCTACTGGCTAAGAACAGGCAAACTTTTCTGCTCCAGACCACAAAGCTGACCCGTCTTGCCAGACGCATGTGCAGGGACCTGTTGCAGCCGAGGAGGGCTGCCCGCCGACCCTATGCCCCTATCAATGCCAATGCCATCAAGGCAGAGTGTAAGGGCAGGAGTGATGGGACTAGTGGAGGGTTCAGGGTCACTCTGCCCAGAGACCAGGGCTTCTCTGGGCGTTTAATGACAATAGTGATAGTAAGCCACTGAGTTCTTTAAGGAGATTAGACATGACTCCTGGCCCCACAAGAGGCCTGAATAGTGAAGCCCCTTCAGAAGCTTTTGTCTTTGTTGTCCAGGCTCCATTCGACTCCCTAAGGCTGCAAAGACTCCACTGAAGATTCACCCTTTGGTGCGGCTGCCCTTAGCAACTATCGTCAAAGATCTGGGTATGGGATGGGGAAGCAGACTGATTCAGGGTGGGACAGGATGGAGAACCAGTTAGGGTGGGGTCAAGTGCCCAGTCCACTCACTGTCAAGAACCTTATCTCCCCTTGCACTTTGCTTTCCCAGCAGGTCCTAGAGATTTAGTCTCACAAACTGGACTTTTGTGGGTTAACCTTTTTTTTTTTTTCATAAGCTTTCTAGTACTACTATACTGATAAGATAAGGTCATAATGATTTTTGAAATACTGGTGATAACTTGCCAGATGCTTCCCCTGTCTTTGCTTATGGGCATGCCCAGGGAGACAAGGTGGAGGTAAGAAGGGATACTGTATGGAGAAAAGGTGCGAAGGTTTCCTGTCTGTGTTTTCCTGGCAGTGGCTCAGGCGCCTTTGAAACCAAAAACACCTCGAGGTACCAAGACCCCTATCAACCGAAACCAGCTGACCCAGAATCGAGGCCTGGGAGGCATTATGGTGAAACGGGCCTATGAGACTGTGAGTGGATGGATGGGTGGGCTGAACTGAGTTGGGTGGGTTTTGGGTTATGATAGGAGTCTGAGAGGGTCGCCTTCCTCCTTGTGCTCACCTGTTTTTTTCCAGATGGCAGGGGCAGGGATCCCCTTCTCTGCCAATGGAAGGCCTCTGGCCTCAGGGATTCGCTCAAGTTCCCAGCCAGCAGCCAAGCGTCAGAAACTAAACCCAGCTGATGCTCCCAATCCAGTGGTGTTTGTGGCTACAAAAGATACCAGGTAGGAATTCTACCATGGGAGGGACTGAGAGGTTCAAACCAGGTTGGTGGTTGTGGGAAAGAAGTATTTGAGGAAGACCAGCTCCAGAAAGATGGTGGCTGCAGCGTGGGGGTGTCAGAAAAGAATGGACTGGAAGGCAGAATTGCAGTGTGGAATGTGGGGTTTCACCTGGGGATCTTAGCATTCCTTAAACCTTGTCTATTCCCTTTGTACCCTTTTTGGCTAGGGCCCTCAGGAAGGCTCTGACCCACCTAGAGATGCGGCGAGCTGCCCGCAGGCCCAACTTGCCCCTGAAGGTGAAGCAGACGCTGATTACAGTGCGGCCCGCGGTCCCTCTCCCTGCACCCTCACATCCTGCCAGTACCAATGAGCCCATCGTCCTGGAGGACTGAGCATCTGTGGGGAAGGGAGGTGGGCTGAAATACAGAAGATGGGTGCCTAGGGCACCCAAACTCCCTTCCCTTTAGTATCAAAGGGAGGGAGGATGGGGGCAAGGGAGTGTATGTCCCTGGAGGGCTTGTGCGCCCTCTAGTGTCACCACCTCCTGACTTGTACCCATCCCATGCTTCTCTGTGCTTGGTGATGGAGGGTGAACTGCAGGAACTTGGCCTATGTGGGAACCTAGCCTGTTTGGGGATAGGACCCACAGTTGTCTTAGACAGTTTGGGGGGGAGGGTTTTTTAATTTTTTAAAAATTTTGCCTCCCTTTGTGAAAGGGGTTGGGGAGGGGAAGAGGAAACAGCTATCAGGTGGTGGTACCTGATTGGGGGAGGGGGGCCAGCACTGCCATGTCTTTTTTTTTTTTTTTTTTTCCTGATTGAGGGTTTCTCTTCCTGTCCGGTGTCCGGACTTTCCTAATTGGAACTTTGAGGCCCCTAAGCTGGCATCAACCCCAGCCCATGCTCGCTCTTTCCATCCCTCCCCTTCCCCCCTGCCTTTTGTACGCCAATTCTCAGAAATAAAGATCTTTTGTCCGTTTTTTTAACCTCGGATTCTGTAATTGGTTCTTATAGTAACAAATAAAAAACTGTTTTCTTCAGCTTCTCCTGGCTCAGCTGTTCTCTGCCATGGGTGTGTGTGTTGGGGGGTACCCTTTATTTCCCCTTTGAAAGGAGAAATAAAGGACAAAGGACAATAAAGGAGCTACAGATGGTGCTTGCCCTAGGAACAGCTTTATGAGATAGGCATCCTGGACAGAGGCAGCCTGTTCCAGCTAGCCACCTTGCGGGACCCAGACTGCTTCCCAATTGCCAGTGGTGCTGGAGCCCAAGCACCATCTTGGCCCAGATTCATTCAAAGTAGTTGGGATAAGCTGGCTTTCTAGATAGCTGGTGGCTTCCATAGGATGGGGCCTTGAGGGTGTTTTATCCTTTCTCTTTCCCAAGTCCCCTTCCCCCTTTTAATATAATTATTCAATTTGTTATATTTTAACATATTCATTTAACTTTATTATTTTTAATTTTGACTAGAGTGAGGGAAAGTGAGAAAGCAAACCACCAGGTCTGGGACACAAACCATGGTCATGCATGTGGGAGTTCAGCGCCTTAACCACCATGCCATGACTCCCCCCTCCTTTCCTTTTTACTTAGGGAATTTTGGGAGTTGCTAGGATCCTCAGGGCCAGCCTCAGCAACTGCCTTAATAGCAGGGTCCACTCTAGTGCTGCTTCAAGCCTTTTTAGGTTTTTTGTTTTGTTTTGGTTTTGGAGAGGTTTTTGCTATAGGGCGTGTGCGCTTGCCAGAAAGAGAGAGACAGAGATAGAAAGCGAGAAATCACCCCCCAGGAAGGATGGCCACGCTGCAATCCCTTCTCCATTCTTCACTCGGGATCTTGGGCACACACGTACGCACTCCCAGCGTGAGTTTAAGCCACCAGGTCCAGGACTCTAACCTCGGTCAGCTACATGGGAGTTCAGTGACAGTGATTACGCTAACTGCTGGTCCCCAGCCTTTTTAGGATACATGTTAGATGATTGAGGTGGGCCCCATGGAACATCTTAGAGGAGAGAGCAAGAAATACAGCCTCCCGGTGCTCCTTGGACACTTGCTTTGGACATAGGGAACGACCTCAGCAGTGTGACTTGTTCAGTCACAGACCTTGGTATGTCTCCCTCAGGTCCATTGCTATTTGCACCAACCAGCTGCTTAGCTCATCTTATAACTCCAACTCATGGTCTTTGTCCCTGTCCCTTCAGCCTCCTCAGCCCTTGATTCTCTTCCAGCCCAGAGCCTACATAGGTAGTATATGGAGGAATAGACCACTGTACCAGTGTAGGGATCAGGGGCCAGGGGCCAGTCAGCACACTTTCTGCCTCTAATGTCTTCGCTCAGCAGCTTCCATAGTCGTTTCCCCATACCGCTTTGGAGTAGGCAGGTCGCTCTGAAGCCTCGTGTGTTCAGTCAACAAGGCCAACTGCGGAAGGAATGAGCCTAGCTTACTAGGACCGCAGCGATCTGTGACCTCATGGAGTCCAGAAGGTGCCCGTAGGGCCAGAACTTCCTAGCCAGGGTTAGGAAGCCGTCCTTTTGCGGAGAATAGAAGCAGAAGAGAGTAACAACCCTGAGAAGGTTGACTACGCAGGAACAGCCTGGGGCTCTGGAGAAAAAAGCTAGAAGCTGCCCGTCCTCCACCTTTATTCGCTGGGTAAATGCGAGTATGTCGGCGCGGCTGCGCGGGTCTCCATTGCCGGATGAAGAAGCTCACACGGGGGGGAGAGGGGGGGCAGCAGTTAGCGTAATGGCTATGTCGCTGGACTGCCACGTAGTCGACTGCGGTTCGTGTCCCGGACCCGGTGGCTTAAAACTCACGCCAGGTGCGTGTACATGCGTGCCCAAGATCCCGAGAGGATTGCGGCGTGACCATCCCCCCTGGGGGGTGATTTCTCGCTTTCTGTCTCTATGTCTCTGTCTGTCTGGCGAGCGCACGCGCCCTATAGCGAAAACCTCTCAAAAAAAAAAAAAAAAAAAAGCGCACGGCCCGCGACACCTGGCTAGGAAAGGACTGGCTGTCAAGGGTCCAACAGAGCTGCGGCCCTCCTCCGGCCTCTGTAGCTGCTGCTATGAATATTTACGATTCCTTCAGCCAATCAACACCGGAACAGTTTAGGCACACCAATTGGCTTGCTGCAGGCCGATTAGCATAGTGGAAGGGCGGCTTTTCCTAACAGCCGCGGACTTGACACAGGCTAGAGGCGGAACCCAAATCGAAGGAGCTTGGTTTCTGAAGGAGCGTGCCTGAGCGACTGGCCGGCATTACGTCACTTCCTGTCTGACTGGCGGAAGTTGCTCCTAAACGCGTTACGATTCGTAGAAGTGAGTTCCGGTGGTGGTAGAAGCGGTAGAAGGTTACATTTTTCTGTAGGGGAGAATTGCCATGGCGGCGGTGGGTTCGGATGTCGAAACGTTACCGCGTGGGGGTTTCCGCTGCTGTCTGTGCCACGTTACTACAGCCAACCGTAAGCGGTGGCTAGTGAGGGGGGAGGTCGCGGTGCTTTAGTTTTTTGGAGCTAGCGAAACTTAGGGTTGTAGATGACGGTTCTGTCAAGCCGGTTGGTAGGGTCACTCACCTCCCTTTAGCCCTGCGCTTCTGAGGGGATGGGAGAGTGGGGAACGTCCCACCACTTTACATTCCTCCCGAGGATATGAAATCTCCACGATGAAATTTGATGTATTCTCTCTTTAACCGTCATCTATTGGACATCTACTCTTATCTTTTACCGTGCTGGGCTCTAGGGTGGAATGAGGGGCTCCAGAAATGAAAAGAGCTTACTAACTAGAGACTGAGACAGTTTCAGTGCTCTGTAGATACGTTTGGAGAGCCGTGGGGACACAGACAAGACAGAAGTCAAGTCAGGGAAGCCCTACGGAAGACCTTCCTAAAGGCAGAGATGGGCGAAATAGCATGGCATAAAGGCAGCATAAGGTACCATCGAAGAGGCCAGAAAGTGAGCTTGGAAATGTAGATAAGGACGTTGTATGACAATGCAAAGGTCTCAATGAAACCTCATGCTCGGCTCTTGAAGTCCAGAATCATAATCTTCCCCCAAAAGGGTTTTCTTCCGTTCTTTCTTTTCTCTGTGAATGGGATTACCACTATTTGTCCAGTAGGGTAGGCTAGAAACCCAGGAGTCTTCTTTGGCCCCACAGTACTTTGGTGATTGACATCAAACTGATTCAATAATAAATGATAGCAACTGATTTTGTTTACCATGTACCATGTACCAGACTCTGCCAAGTGCTATTCATGGATAATACTTATGTGGTAGATACTATTATTATGTTTTTAATTATTTAATTTTATTATTTTCCAGTTTGATCATAGAGACAGAGAGAGAGAGAGAAAGTGAGAAGGCAAGCCATCAGGTCTGGGACTTGAGCCACTGTCAACCATGTGGGAGTCCAGCTCCTTTAACCACCACGCCACCTGCTGGCACCCAGTAGCTACTATTATCTCCATTTGATATCAGAAGAAATGGAGCACAGAGAGGTTAATAACTTGGCCAAGGTCTCAAATAGCTTGACAGAGTGGGGATATGAACTTGGGCAGTTTGATTTTAGTCCCGCACTATTCCATACCTAGAGATGCTCCCTGAAGAATAATCCAGGTTTCTGATTTATGTTCTGCATTTGACCTTTTAGTTTCTTTACAACTTCTTTTTTTAAACTCATTTTTTTATTTAATTTTATTTGTTATTATTGTTATTTATTTTTTAATTTGACCAAAGAGGCAGAGAGAGAGAGAGAGAGAGAGAGTGAGAGGGGGAGAAAGTGAGAAAGTAAGCCACCAGGTC